CTGCCTTCATGGAGCCTGTTTGGGAAGATTCTAAAGCTAATTAGTATTTGGCAGGAGCCCCTCTCCTGGGCACACCCTGGCATGAGAGAGCGCTCCTCCCTTGTTCTCAGTTCTTCAGCTGCCATTGTTCGTGCATCAGGAAGTTCTCCCTCTGCTCCTTATAGCTATTTCACTTGCCTTCTCTCCGTGAGTTCCTCCTCTTCATCTAAAACCTCTCAAACTCCTTTTCACTCTTTTTTCCTTTTTAAAAAGAATTATCTTTGTTGGACTGTATTTTGCCCCGTTTTCCTCTCTGCACTTCAGCCCCACTTCCCACTACCACTGCCAGTTATTTACTAAACAGGCAAGAAATCACAAGACCAGTCACCTGAGAGAACCACTCTGGACATAATCCTCCATGGAACTGGCTCCCCTTGCCCAGCAGAGCAACCAGCAACATCAGGGGCTAAACTTCCTCCATGCCTCCTGCAGTGATGGCAGAGCCCTTTTTGGCTGTTCACCAGATGGACCATGTGTTGAAGATCACTGGAGCAAGAATTGGCAAAAATTGGTCTTGAAATTGGCCAATGCAGTAAACTCCAAAGATGGTGACAAATGCTTTCAGACTAATGCCACAACAAGATCGCCCCTACCAGAACCCTGTATATCTTGGAGGCAGAATATTAACCTGGTCCCCAGCACCATTCTTTGCCGGTACTGAGAGGCATCCAGGAACTACAGCACTGAAATGCGAAACAGCACTGATGACATTATTCTCCAAGGGGGAGTTAAGAGATCCCTCTGCCTATACAGCAAGTACCTTTGATTGTCTAAGTACCAAGGTGCATCTCTCTCTCTTCACTAATTCCAGGTAAGGCCTACTCCACTGATCCCAACAAGTGCAGGTTCTGCTCCCACTTGCCCATTGCTGATTGGGACCATATTCCTCACTGGTCAGTGCCACCATACAGGAGTGACTACAATAAAGGCTTCTACCATGGTTGCTAGGCTTTCTTCAAGTCCAGATACCTGGAGCAGCCGTACTGAACCCTGGCGCACTCCAACAGAGCCCTGATTTCATGCTGAAGATCAAACCCAAGACTGTGCATCCAGGCTCATATGATGCACCAGGACCCAATGCTCACCTTGGTGCTAAGTGTCAGATTCCAGAGACTACCTATCCAACTCACAGATGCTGCAGTGACTCCCTGGATGCACCCTCACTGTCAGAGGATCTGGGAATGTGGATGGCACACAGTTTAACCTGCAGCAGGAACCTAGGAGAGCTAAGGACCTGGTGGTTGAGGTGGTACACAGATCATGGGACCATTGGCCATTCCATTCCTGACAATGCTGATGGACTTGGTACTGCAGGAATGGAAACCCCTTGCCTGTAGTCCCTGTGCTGAAGAGGCTCAAGCACATGAAATGGATGCAGGAACAGGATGCACCATTCTTGTTCCAACACCCCCACCTGAATTCTATCATTGTAGAGTCAGCTCATGGTTTGTCCAGGAGGGAGCACTCCATACCAGATGAGAATGAGGGCTACCCACTTAGACACAATGGGATGCTGCTTCTATTCCTCCACTGTACTGGCCCTGAAGATGGCAAATTACCAAGCCACAGCAGGTACCAACTCATGTTATGGGACAGGATTTCTACCGTATACAAAACCCTTCCAAGGGATTTACAGGACCTGGCCAATGATGTCAGAGGCGAGGCTGCCCAGCCCTCACTCCAGGGGAGCCACACAGCCAAGCACTTGTCATGAGCCATGTTTCTCCCTCCCAGCAGTAATAGTCTCACCAGCTTTTTTTTTTGCCAAATGTCTTTATTTCACATATAGGTCTCTGAGCATGCACAAAGTGAAATTTGAACCCTCTCTGACATTCTTCACTCAAAGCTTTATTTGTGAATCCTTTTGCGTCTATCCCTGGTGAGAGGAGCACTGTGGAACTGGGCGCGCCCGTTTTCCTCCCTCAGAGACCCTAGTTGGGCCACTGTGTGACTGTGACAATGGACTGTTGGATTCACCTAGGAGGAAGGAGTTCCCCATCCGATAGACTCCCCATCTCTAAATCTCCTTCATCAAGATGTTTTTGCTCTTTCCTGTTCCCCCGGGCAAATTGACTGGTCTTCTTGGCTGCCCTCGAACTAATCTTCCCCCATAGTAGGCACAGGTGAGTATGCAGAGTTTTAGACTGCAGCTGGAACTGTGACCATTTCAGCAATCATCTCATTATCCAAGTCTGAGTTGTCAGTCCCACTAGAATAGGCAGTCTCCCCTGCACATACCTCATCCTCGAGCTGTCAGTGCCACCAAAACAGTTAGCCTCTCATGCATACCCCTGAGGTTTGCCAGAACTCACACATGGCAGCATCAGGCAGAGTGTGGTACAAGGAACTTGACAGGGGCGATAGGACTTGGATGGTACACTTGCCTCCAGTCCTCCAGGCTGTCCGTCAAGGCTCAGGCTCAAATAAAGGGCATGCCGTTTGATGGGGAGGGCCTATTCAAGCAGCCATAGATGACCAGATGGACTCAGTCCAGAAGACCAGGACAACTGCTTGGAGGATGGGTCTGAACCAGCTGCCACCATCTAGACATTATGCCCTATGTAAGTGGAACTGCTCAAGCTATCCAAACCAATCTATAAACCAGTCCCCTCTACCCCAAGACACAGTCCAACCCCCAGCTCAGTCAAGGAGAGTCCCCCCATTCTCACACCAGGCCACCAATGCCTGGATGATGCCAGGAGGCAGCTGTGATTGAATCCAGCAGCTGCCCAACGCCACCCATCTTTGGCCAACAGTTCCACACATAGACTGAGATCAACTCAGACTTATGGGTCCTCTCCATCATCTAGCACCATTACAGAAAAGAATTTGAGGACTTCCAACTTTTCGGTATCATCAGGCACATAACCCCCTTCATTCCCCTCTTGAGAGAGATCAGTTTCCTGCTAGAAAAAGCACATAGTCCCCCAAACAAACCAGAAGTTTTCCTGAAGATACATCATTATACTGAAAAAGGACAGAGGACTGTAGTCTGTCCTGGACCAGAGAGATGTCAACCCCTTTATAAGATCCAGGAAGTTCCACATGATCACGCTACAAAATTTTCTGCCATTGCTGCAAGAGGAAGAATGATTCACCTCAGTGCACCTGAAGAATGTCTGTTTCCATATCACAATTGAGGGAGTCCTACAGGTGCTTCCTCTGCTTCTAGGTCAGGCCTTCCATTTTGTCGGTCAAGGCCTCACAACAGCACCACATGCCTTTACAGTGTCTGGCAGTAGTGTACACCCACCTCTGCCTACAAGAGGTCCAGGTCTACCTGTACTTGTATGACTGGCTAATTACAGGTCCATGGAGGCAAGGCACAGCCCAGGCAACCACTACTATATGTGACCTACTGTACCATCTGCAAAATCCTCTCTCTCCTTCACTGAATTGATCCTCCTCATTGGAGCACACCTGGACTCTATCTCAGCACACACCTTCCTGCCAGATGACAAGGCATCCTCCCTGACTTGAGAAGCATCCAACCTTATAAAGAACCAGACCACAACTGCTGCCCTAGTCCAGAGGGTGCTTGGTCTTGTGGCAGCTTGCTATTGCTGTCATTCTGTTAGCCTGCTTGCACATGTGTCCCCTCCAGCTCCAGTTTCTCAGCATATTCAGTCCTACAACCATGTCACAGAGAACCAGACTGACAGTACCCACCTGCATCTGATGAGACCTTTGGTGATGAACCATTCTTCGCAACATCAGCACCAAGTCTACCTTCACCCTGCCAGTCTCAAGCCTGGTTATCACAAAGGATACCTCTCCAATTGAGGAGCCCACTTTGATATTTTATTATTTATTTATTACTGGAATTTATATTGCATACTATTGCCAAGTGCTCAGGACAGCTTTTGACAATCCATGGTAACTGGAACACTAGATGCATCAAGATATCTCAACCATCTGGAGATGCTGGTATTCTAAAATACCCAGTCACATTCCAGAACCTCATCCCAGGCTGTCATTTACAGATCACCTCCAACAACATGATAGTGGTCTGCTACATCAACAAACAAGACAATACCAGGTTAATCTCCCTAGTGTGCCTGCCCTTCAAGATTTGGACCTGGTGTGTTGCCAAAGTTATTGCCCTCATGGCCGACACCCTCAGCCACGTCCACAGAATGCCACAGGTGGGAGGGGAACCACTGGGTCTGGAAATGACTTTGGGCAGAATAGGGCCACCCCTGGATGCCACTTCTTGTCTTGAGCAGGCTCAAACCCAAACTCTGTGAGGGATGCCTTCTTGCAAACCTGGAACAGGACTCTAACCTACCTCTTCCCCCATTACCCTTTTTCACAAAGGTCCTAGAGAAGATCCATCAAAACCAAGCTAACTGCACCCCCCCTTGGTGGCCCAGGCAGCCCTGGTTTTCTCACCTCCTGGACCTATCAAACTGGACCTTCCTGCACCACCATCAAACCCAGCGTCATCTTTGTACATTCACACAAATCCACCCACCATCCTCTTGGTGTTGCCCTGTGACTACTAGGTGTTCCTTCAAGGAACAGAAGGGTACAATGGTGGTTTCATTATTTCACAACTGACGACCAAGCAGGAGCCCCACTCTCACACCAGGATGTGCCCAGGGGAAGAGCTGCTGCCGAATATTAATTAATTAGCTTTGAAATCTTCCCGAACAGGCTCCATGCATGCACACTGAGCGCATGTGTGAATGCACAGGTGACCACTTGAACAACAGTTACAGGTAAGCAACCTGTCTTTCCTCTGTATATCAGCATTAATTATGTGAAGACCAGGTAATTGTAAACAACATTTGGTAATGTTTTAATGAAACGATAGAAAACAAATGAACAAACCTGTTTCCACAGAGCTGCCCAAAGTGTAAGAAGGTATTTTGATTTTGTCATTTAATGTGATTTTTCTACTAATTGCCCAGGTACGATTTTAAATTAAACCAAAATTGTGTTGTGTGGTGTTTTCACAGGTTTTGGTTCAAGTGGCATGGATTATGGCATGGTGGGGGGGAAAGAAACTGGAACAGAATCTCGTTTTAAACAGTGGACGTCTATGATGGATGGCTTGCCATCTGTAGCTTCCCAAGATGCCAATATGCACAAAAATGGTGAGAGCTTTCAGCTTGCATTGTCAGAAATGGGTTAGAAGGGCCCTTCTGTGCTACCACTTTTCAGCCCTATAAAATGTTTGATAGAATACCTTTGGCCTCTTCTATTATGTATTTGATTCTGGTAATTTAAAACACACACAACATCTCAAGTGTTTTGTCAGGCTTAAGGTGCAATCTTATGCAAGTTTAGATATAAAAGGGCCTACAACTCCCAGCATGCTGCAGCAAGGTAACTGGGGCATGCATTATATGCATTTTTTAAATCTCAGGTTGCATAGAAATATTCTCTTGGTCACTAAAGCATAAATATAATAATTCTAGCATTCATATGTAGTACATCCAAACTCAAGAAAGGTTATTCTCTCACACACCAATTATCTGTATTCTGTTTTCTCTCTCACTTGTAGCTTTACTATTGTATGGAACATGTGAATTCACATTCTACTTTTATGTTAAATATGAGCCCTGTCTCAGCTTCTACCCTAATTGTCTTGTGTCTTTCTTTTCTTCCAGGGACGATTGTGCCCCCTGGAAAACCCCGAGGGGGATCGCCCTATAATCAATTTGATATAATTTCTGGCGACCCACTGGGCAGCCACACAGGTCCTGCTGGTGATAGTTGGTTACCTGCCAAATCTCCACCAACCAGTAAGATTGGAAACAAATCCAGCAATGCCAGCTGGCCTCCAGGTAATTTCAGCATGCTCCTTAAATTAGTTCATAATGTTTATAGATTGTACATCCCACTGGGTGTCTAATGAAATGTGTTTCCATTCTTACATCAATAACTTGTCTACACAGTAGCCTTCTGTTCTGTAAACTGTGCTTTGTGCAGTTTTTTCAGGCCTTCTACAATCTGTGCCTGAGGTTGTGTGATACTGTTGCACAATTAGAAACAAAAAGAAATCAAAACTATGGACTGCATACAGTAGGCAAATTAAATACATTTTTATTTTGCATCATTTACTTTGGCAAGGTTTTAAGGAGTTGCAGTGCACTAGAAAAAGCCCATGTTACTATTCAGAAAATCCTCTATGTTGATGTTTCAACAGGCATTTATCTCCACCATCACTGCCACCAAGCATCTTTGCAAACAGAAGGGTTCAGCCATTCTTTGGGTGCTTTTCTTTTTTTTCCTTTATGAAAGTAAAGATTCTGGGGAGGCTGCCTAATGGTCTGTTTAGTTGCATGTAATCATGGTACACACAGAGCCTGTTTCCACAGGGCATTTTGCCTACTTCTGGTATGGTTTGCTTCTTAATCCCATCAATGAAGAATTCTACTGTGCTGTCCTCAGAGCAACTTTTTATGATAAATTATGCAAAATTGTGCAAAGCAGTATACAATTACATAACCATTAAAAATGAATGAGGTGTATACTTTTAGGGAATTGACTCTAATATTAATTATATTAATTTGTATGGCATCAGCCCCTGATTTGCAATAGCAGAGGATCTGGGGCTGCCATGAAGTACAGGAATCAATTTTATCTACTTGTTGAGCTACATATAACTATTGTCTGTCTTAGAAGAGAACAGAGCCTTTACATCCTGTTGCACAGAGATTGGCTGCTGTCCTAAAAGGACACAACTGACAAAATACAGGCCTTGTTTGGCATTCCTTTTCCCATGACTCTCTTTTCCTATAATATGTCCCTGTTTACTGCATCCCCTTTTTCCTTCCCAGTAGATTATCTGTGCCACTCCATTTATCAAAGTATTCAGCATTTCAGTCAAAACTGAGGTGATGACTTGGAAAGATGGAAGTCATTCAAGAAATAATGCTACATGTTCTTACATAACTCTTTTGTGCTGCTTGACCTTGTGCATAGAAAAATACTGATTTTATACTAAAAATAAGGTCAGCACATGGAATGTACTTTCTTAACCTTGAATATTTGTGGCAATATGTGTTATTTCCCATGCCTCAAAACTTAGAATAATGTGTTAGTGATGCATTTTAAAGATATAGGAAGGGACATTTTGGTCATATTTGTGACTAGATACATTATTTCAGTGTTACATCCATGCATTATTGAACTTCTCACCAGAATTCTAGAACTCGAAATGCTTTGTACAAGCTCCTCGCTTGTGCGCGCTGTCTGTCTGTCTGTCTCTCTCTCTCTCTCTCTCTCTCTCTCTCTCTCTCTCTCTCTCTCTCACACACACACACACACACACACACACACACACACACACACACACCTTTCTGCTATCTCATTATTGTAGTTTGGAAGAATTTGAAATTCTAGAGCATGGTATTTGAAACAGCATCTAATTATTGGCCTGTTTCAGAGTTTCAGCCAGGAGTGCCATGGAAAGGTATTCCAAACATTGACCCTGAATCTGACCCCTATGTGACCCCAGGAAGTGTGTTGGGGAGTACAGCCACATCTCCCATTGTAGATACTGATCACCAACTTCTGCGGGACAACACCACAGGTCTGTTTAACCTTTATTTTCTGTTAAATAAATGTTGGAGCCTACAGTTACTGGAACTGTATATTATATCAGTAAATATGTGTTCGCTGTTAACAGGGTGGGGGAAGAGACATTTGTAGGGGAGAATCAGAAGGATCAAAGTTACATAAACTCTCCACAAGCTCTGATTCTTCCCTCCAACCTCTTCTGCCAGGCCTTTTTTCTTTCAGCAGGGTTTATTTTCAGTTTTGGAATCAGCTCAGTGGAAATCAATGCAAAACCTGTTTGGAGGAAAAACATTAGCAAATGGTTGCACACCCTGTTAGCATTTCCTGATTCTCCCCTGAAAAAGCTTATATTTGCATTATAGAGATAAGTCTGTCAAGAGACAAGCATAGGGCAGAAATCCTATTTTTGCTTTATCACATATAATCCATCCCTCAAGGTTGATCTATGACATTTTCCCTTATCCTCTCTTATTTTGACATAGGGTCTAATTCTTCCCTCAACACCTCGCTGCCTTCACCTGGTGCCTGGCCCTACAGTGCCTCTGACAATTCCTTCACAAATGTTCATAGCACTTCAGGTATGCTTGGTTCCATTATTCTGTCCTATTAAACCTGTTCTGAGTCTCTTTTTCTAGTATAGAGTGAAGCCATATTAGTGTAGTATATAGAATTACCATATTGAAGCTACTAGTTTAAAGTATGTATAATCAATGTTTTGTACAACGAAAAGCTTTCTTAGTGGGCTGCTCCCATCCTGCAGTTCATTATGAACTTTTAAAAATAATATTTTAAGTAATGTCATCTTTCATGCAAAGATAAGGGTCTTGTTAACAACAAATCAAGTGTTAATTAGTAGAATGCTGTGATTCTTAGAGTACCAGAAATGAACAAATATTTAATATGTAACTACAGAAGTAGAACATCCTATACCTGAAATAGAAATGATACTGTATTGTCATAGTCTCCATGTTCTTCTCTGTGACCTCTGTGCATCACGCATAGAGGCTCTGCACTGGTGTGGAGCCTGTTGTCAGGAAGATTTAACAGCTAAGAGCATTTTGGTGGGAACCTCTCCTACACATAAATGAGAGGAGTTCCTGTCTATTCCCTCAGTTCTTTGACCACCTATCCTGAGTCCCTTGGAAAGTTCTTTGTCTTTGTTCTCTGAGCTTTGAACATTTTCCTCTCTCATTTTTTCCTCTTGTAGAAGTCTGTTTGCCATATTCCTTCCTTGTCTTTTCATCAAACCACTGCCTGTTTTCTCTTTACCCTTTAAAACATGCACACACAAAAAACCTCTTCGTCTTTCCTTGACTATTCCAGAGCAGCTGTTTCCTTAACTGTTCTCTTCCTTTCAGCTTACCAGTGACATTGAAGGCAGCGTTTTGCAAAAGCATGAAATGCAGTAGCAAGCTCCCATCAACAGATGGGTACTCACTTTGTTTGTTCTGTCTTGGCAAGGAACTTCATGTCAAACAGTGTCCTCACTGTATGGCCTTCATTAAGCAAGCCAGGAGGCACTGCATGGATTGCACATGGATTGGTGGAATAAAGCTCTCCAAGCGGTCAGTGTTCTTAGGCTACCAAAGCTTGCCCACCTGCCTGCATCTGAGGTTTCCACCTCCACCCCAAGCTGTGCCTCCCTTGGCTAGCACCCAAATTCCAGGCCAGTCACCAAGAGTTTCCTAAAAATCAAGGAAGCTAAGAAGCTAGCCAAAGAGGCTAAGTTGGTAGACTTCTCTGGTGCCAAATGAAACAGCACTCCAAGGAGCATCACTCTGATCTGGCCAGGAAGGCGATATACTGGTCTAGGCACTTCCTGAGCTGAGATCTTCAGGACTGGGACCCAAACCTGTATTAGCCTCAGTTTCAAAGGGGAAGATTCAGGACTTCACCCCCCCCACCTCCTACCACCTCAGTCCTGTAGCCTCAACCATCTCTGCCACCTCTAAACCATCATGCTGACATTGTTGGATTTGAGCAAGAGGGACTGCTCCTGTTCGCTACTGTTAGACAGGAACAAACATTTGGCATACTTTGTCCTTGAGGATATTTTCTGCATCAGGCTTATAAAACATAGAAGCAGTGCTTTCAACCCTTTTATGAGTGAAGTCACTATCCATCCTCACTACTAGTATTATTCCCACCTCTGGCCAAGTCCCCAAAGCATAGAGTAGGAAAACTGAGCAACTTCCCAATAAGAAGAGGTTACAATGTTTGGAGCTCATTTGCTTAGTGGGGAAAAAAAAACAAGCTCCGGTGGGATAAGAGACATGAAGAAGGATCTAAAATAAAGCATCATGCAGAGAAAATGGATAGGGAGAAGGTATACTCTCTATCCTAACTGAACCCAGGGTCAGCAGATAAATGCTCTAGGGAGAATCAGAACAGATAAAAGGAAGCACTTCTTCATGGATACATAGGTGAAACTATAGAGTATGAATGGTTTCATTAAGGATGAGGTCATCAATAGCTGCTGGTTATGATTATTGTATATTACTTGCAATGGGCCTGTGTATGCCTTTCAATACCTTTCACTAAGGAATATGAGCAGGAAGATGCTGTTATGCTTGTGTCTTCCTCGTGGGCGTCTCCTTGGGTTATCTGATGGCCAGTGAACCTGATATGACATTGATCTGATCCAGCACAGTTCATACATCGAGAAGTAGCTGGGCAATAATCTTATATTTCATAAAGATATGGATAAGTTAAATATAGTCTAAGATATGTGTTTCTTATTTGAACCTCATTAGAAAAATCCCTATACCTTTCCCTGGCCTTCTATGTTTGTTAAAATGTTATGGGAGAATGGGATCTTTTGCAGGAGTTACTGGGAGCAGAAGGAAACAGGTGTTTTTTCTAGTGGTTTTTGTTCTGCATAGTTTCCTTCAAATTAGGCAAGACCACAGATCTCTCCTAGCAAGCATGCTTTGAAAGAGAGGTGAAATCTTAGCTCACTTGAGGAAGAGAGATTGTGTACTGATGTGGTTTTTCAGGAAAGCTTTTCATTTTACAAACTTGATAGGGACCTGAACTGACATATTTATTTGATTTATATTTCATATATAAAATGAAAAATATGCCATGGTAATTTTATATACTATATAGATATTTTAGAGTTTTTCAAATGATTTATTTATTTATTTTTCGATTTATATCCTGCCTTTTTCCTACAAAGGGCTCAAGGCAGCTTACATCTCCTCCATCTTATCCTCACAACAACAACCCTGTGAGGTAGGTTGGGCTGAGAGTCTGTGACTGGCCCAAAGTCACCCAGTTGGCTCCATGGCTGAGCGGGGACTCGAACCCAGATCGTTTGAGTCCCAGTCCCATGCTCTTAACCACTACACCACACTGGCTCTCAAAAGGATTTCCATATCCAAAAGGATATGGATATCCAAATATCCAAAAGGATTTGTGCTGAACTATTCAGAATAGATTGCTGAAGCTCATATCTTGTGGTTATTTGTTATACTAAAAATGTACAGCATTATTTGGAAATTATTTTTTGGAACATTTGTAAATAAGATGCTAAAATGTAATACACTTATTTGCATATCTTAAATGGGGTGAAAGGAAAGCACTGCAAATTATCAGCTCTAATTTTAGGCTGCATTTGTCTTTCTTAAACTGCTAGAATAAGTTGTTTTTAAGAAAGTAATACAATAATTACTGAGAGCAAGTACAGTAGTTAGAGTGTTGGACCGGGGACCCTGGAGATCCAGGTTCTACGCTGCACTTGGCTGTGAAGCTCACTAGATGACTTTGGGCCAGTCACAAACTCTCAGCCCAACCTACTTCACAGGGTTCTTAGGATAAAAATGGAGCTGCATAAGCCACCTTGGATTCCTCACAAGTGGGAAAAGGCAGGATAATAAATATAATGTAATAAAGAGCATTGTAGCATACATACAGAGAATTAACATTTGTTAAATACCATCCTGATGAAGAATTTTCAGACCCAGAGATTAAAGATGCTCCAAAAGTGTTTACTTTTGTTTTTTGAGAATGAAGAGCCAACATAGTTCATAAGCAGATTAGAAATATAAATAAGAATGATGCGTTCCAGGTGCAGATACAAGATGTCAGCCTGTTGGCAAAAGTTTAAATTATAATTATTTTAAGTTGTATTGTGTTTATAAAAATATAACATTTTCCTTATCTCTGTTTTAGCAAAATTCAGTGATTACAAATCAACATGGTCTCCAGATCCCATTGGACCCAATCCTGCCCATATCTCCAACAAGATGTGGAAAAACCATATTTCCTCAAGAAACACTACAGGGCTGCCCCGCCCACCTCCTGGTTTGAGTAATCCAAAACCATCCTCTCCCTGGAGCAGCACAGCACCCCGCTCACTCAGGGGGTGGGGGGCACAGGATTCAAGGCTTGCCTCTGGTGAGTAGGTTTTTCTTACTGCTTGGATGTTAAGGATATAGAAATTCTGCAATATTAATAGTAGTCTGTATATGATAAATTATTATATATGTTTAGTGAAGAAAAGACTATCCTTTTTGTAAGGTGCAATGATGGTTACTTGGAATATTAATCAGAAGCTGCTGGGGAAACAGAGAAGAAAAACGGTATGCTATGATGAAGGTCATAGATTTGGAATCTTTCACTCCTCACTTCATACTGCTAAGTACCTTGCCATTTTTTTCCCTGGCTTGTTTCCTTGCTCTTCTACAAGCCTGTTCCTCCTCTCACTCTGTTCTAAAAAGAGAGAGAAAGAAATTCTCACCAAAACTACTTTTTTTCCTGCCCAGCTTTCCTATTAGCCTTCCTCCTTCCCTCTCTTGCCACCTTCGCATCTGTATGATGGCTCCCATGGCCTTTCAGAGCTGCAACTCATGTTTCCTGTACTTCCTCTGCCTCAGCAAGTAGCACATAGTTGAGACTTGCCCCCACTGCCAGGCTTTTTAAAAAGAAACATGCCTGCAGCATGCAGATTGGCTGAAAGCCAAACTCTGGAAGAGGACCCTCTGCATAGCATACATGTCGAGTGGGATACAGAGAATCTACCTCCGCAGGCTCCAGAACCACAAGGCCAGGAAAAAGGCCCAAAAAGATGGCTGCCACCCCTCTCAAAAAGAGACACAGCATAAACCCCCACCCACCAACACCACAACAAGGGGTCCTGCTGACTGAGGCCACTGCCAACACTCGGGACTGATCCCCTGGTCCAGGGATATCTCCCCCATGCACAGATCACCATTGCCATCAACGTTCAGGCAGTACTCCCCAATTCCACTATGTGGTCTCTCGCTTGAGTACCCAATGACTCCACTCTCAGCATGCAGCCAGGGCCCCAGGGGACACTGGGAACGTTACTGCTTCCCCCTGCTCCACTGGGACCTCAACACCCCAAGGTCTCCAGCCTCCATCTACTCAGACAAGCTGTCGGATTATTCAGACCTCTCAGCTGAGCCATCTTCCACCACCACTTCCTACCACCATGAAAGCAAGTGAGACTCCAATTCTTCCACTAGAAACTTCAATGCTGATTGCTGCCGAGCTAAGCTGAGCAGCCAGCATTGCAACAACAACCAATGCCAGAACCATGCTGACTCTGCTTGACACCATCCCCACACTGGCACTGAGAATCAACACCATCGCCAAGACTCTGTCATGGAGTCTCTTTGATGCCAGGACCTCCCTAATGTTGAGCCCCTTGACATTGAACCTCACCAATGCCAACCTACAGTCACTGGCTGGCACCAGCAGAAACCAGAACCAATGCTGCTTCACACCAGTGCCTGGACCCTGCCGGTGCCAAATCAGGCCACCACTACCAGTCAACATCAACTTGACCTCAATTCTGACAGACTGGCCTGACGTCAACTCCCAACTGCCAACAGCACAATCTTAATGTCTTAACCCTGATATTGACCAATCCCACTCACCCAGCCCTTGTCCAGCCACCCAAGAACCTGAACCATGCCCATCGACTAGCTGCCCAACTTGAGCTGCTGCCAACCAGATGTCACCAGTCACCATCTACCTCATTAGACTGCAGCTACACATTGGACACAGACTCTCCTCTCTCCTTGAACACCTTGGAGCCATCCCCCAACACCATGGTCTATGTACAGGATCTAGAGTTGCTATCAGAGGAGAGTAAAAGATTTGTCAACCATGATTCTATGCATGACAGGTGACCTCCAGACAACTCAGCCAACAAGAACCAGAGGCTGATCCCATCTTTAATGTTTTGGGCTCTGAAGTGTCCACCCTAGTAGCCATCCCCTTCCTGCTTGCCTTACTCTGGACAGCAGTCCTGGAAGTCCCCTGCTGCTGCCCTGGCCACAGGGGGTTCTACTTCCATTACTTCACATTGCCAACACAGGGTGGAGGCCTCACACCATTCCTTGACCTCTGAGACATCAACAGGTTCATTATACCTAGGAAGTTCAGAATGATTTCCCTGCAAAGCATCCTACCCCTACTGCAGCAAGGGGACTAGTTTTCCTCCAACGAATTAAAAGACCCCTATTTCCATATCTTCATTAATCATGCTTATGGACAAATCAAGGAGGAGACCTTCCAGTTCTCAGTCCTCTCATTCAGCTTCTCCACCGCCCCCAGCGTCTTCACCAAGCACATGGCAATAGTTTGCACCCATCTACCACTGCAGGGCATCTGAGTCTTCCCATACCTCAGTGATTGGCTCCTGGTGGCCCCTTCAAGGACTGACCTCCTACAGTCATTGCATATCACCTGCTTTCTCCTGCAGGAACTTGGACTGCTTACCAGTCTTGACAAGTCTGTTGTCTCCCCCTCCCATCCTTTCTGCAGGAGCTCGCCTGGATGTGACAACTGCCAAAGCATTCCTCCCAGACCTGAGAGCAGAAAGTCTCTGCATCCTGGTGACAATTGTCAGGATCGTAGCCCGCTCCATGGCCCACACAATCTACAGGCCCCTGGGCCTCATGGCCACCACCGTGTCCGTGGTACAATTCACCTTCTTCTGCATGAGACCACTTCATCTGTGGTTCGTGGAAGCCTTTCCTGCAGGAGACTCCCACACCACCAACCAGATGCAACCTGCACTGGTGGTCCACCCTGGAGAACTTCACCACTGGGGTCCACTTCACCCCCCTGCCCAGAATCAGTCACTGCAGATGCCTCTTTCAAAAGCTGGGGTGCACACTGAGGTGACATGCACACACAGGGCCTATGGGATCACCATGAGACACAGCTATACATCAGCCTGCTAGAGGTTCTGGCCATGCATGAGGGCTCTGGTCTCCTTCCAGAGCATCCTCAGACACTGCCATGTACAAATTGCAATGGACAAAAGCGCTGTCATGTACTACCAAATCAAACAAGGTGGCACACGGTCTGTTCGACTCACCACCCTGAAGTCCACCATCTGCGACTAGTGCATAACGCAGGACATCATCATCATGGCCATTCATGTGGCAGGCAGGCTCAACACTGGCTGACACTCTCAGCTGCACCATCTTGGCACCACATGAATGGGAGGTTAATGACCTAGTCCTCAGGGACCTCCGCAACAGGTGGAGCACACCCAAGATAGACCTACTTGCCATGCATCAGAACTCCCAAGTGCCACCACTTCTGGGGACCAACTCTGGGGTGCTGGGGACTAACTCTGGGGGGACTTGTTCTTCCTCTAGTGGGAAGGAATGCTGTTCTACTTCTTCCCCCCATTTCCCTCTGATCACCAAGGTGATCTCCAAAATTCAGAGGAACAGAGCAGTTGCCTTGGTGGCCAAGGCAACTGTAATTCCTGTTCCTCCTCCAGCTCTCCGGGAGGAATCTCTTCTGCCTCCTACAGCACCACCACCTGATCTTGCAGGAACAAGGTTGCATCCTTTACCCAGACATCAGGACTCTGAACCTGACTGCCTGGAGAATCACCAGGTGATTGGTCCCACCTCCAGTTTATACCATACTGGAGGCAGCCCTTAGGCCTTCTGCATGGCTGAATGGAAAGCCTTTGTGACCTTCACCACGTTGGTAGTGCTCAGTCTTTCCCAGACCTCCATAGAGCACATCCTCACCTACCTACAGACCTGCTTCAATGTAGTCCTTGCCCCATCAATGTTGCATATACACCTGCAGCCATTTCACACTTCCACCCCAGTCCCAAGTCAGGCGGGCCTCAGCCTCCACACGTCCCCTAGTGTGCAAGTTCCTGCAAGGCCTGCACAACCTTACCCCACCCACCCACCCACCCCTGTACTCCATGCTAGAGCCTTTCGGTGGTTCTCCAGTCCCTCACCAAGAAGCCTTTCGAATCCTGTCAACTACAGAGATACGTCTCCTATTGGGAAGACATCCTTCCTCTTCGCCATTTCATCAGCCCACCACACCAGCAAACTTTCAACACTACAAGTCAATGCATCTTACTTGACCTTTTATAGGGATATGGCAGTGCTCCACTCTGACCTTCATTTCAGATCCAGGATCACCTCTGCCTTCCATGTCAACCAGGACATCATCCTGCCAGCTTTCTTTTCCAGCCCCTCCACATCCATAGTAGCCACACTGCACCTGCTCAACACCCACAGAGCCCTCGTGTTCTACAAGGCAAGAACCAAGCAGATCCTCCACTCTGACCAACTCTTTGTATGCTACGAAGGCCAAAGAGAAGGAGACCCTATTTCATCACAGAGACTCTCCAAGGGGCATCCAGCACCATTTCCCTACCATGTAAAATGGCAGGCTTCAAGCTTACTGGCAGCTCACAGACACACTCAATGCACACACAGGCCACATCAGCCACCCTCCTAGCCAGTATCCTGCTACATGACATCTGCAGAGCAGCCATGTGGTCCACACCATCAGCCTTCATGAGATTCTATCAGCAAGATACCTGTGCAAGACAGGATTGTGCAGTGCTCTCTTCAGTGCCCCAGTAATGACAAGCCCCCTCCATCCTACACATAATAACCTTGTTAAGTGCCCATATGTGTGTTGCACAGAGACCACAAAGAATAAAGGCAAGTGGCTTTACCTGTAACTGTTGTTCTTTGAGTGGTCGTCTGTACATCCACACAACCTGCCCTCCGCCCCACCTGCTGTCATCAGCTGGATGCATCCTCCATCCTCCTGGGAGCCCAGGCTCAGGGCAGGGTCAACACCTCCCTCTCCCCCCCCCATCCCCTTCAGCTGCCCAGGGACTCATGCCGGTCACAAAGGCAACTGAGGGACTGGGCACCAAACCCTCCCTTATATACCTGGGAACTGGACAGTGAGGGACTCCTGCCAACTCTAAGCTATTGAAGTTTTCCCAATCTAGGCCTTGCACAGGCACAGAAGCCCATATGTGTGAATGCACAGATGATCACAAAGAACAAAAGTTACAGGTAAACAACCTGCCTTTCTTGACTACCACAATGATAGATCAATTATCTTTCTTCAATAGAGCA